AAATTTTACTACTTTATTATATTTATTAATTAGATCTTTAATATTATTGTCTTTAACTAAATCAGATTAATTGCATGTGCTGCACAACGTATATACCAAATATGGGAATACATTTCTTAAATTTTTTTCAGAAATAATGATAATTAAATCCTGTATCTGTAACCACTGCAGCAAATTTCTCACTTCTAATATCTTTAACTAAATTAGATATTTCTAATGATAAAAACTCTCCTGAATTATTTCTGATAAATAATTTTTTAATTTTAAAAAATACTCTTTTCTGTATATTATAGATACTATGTAGTCATAAAGAGAGTTTGCACATAGAGATGTCCAACCATTTAATACTAAAATAAATTAATAATTATTTATGAATATTAATAAATATAGTATTTTAAATATATAAATTAATATATAATGCATACTTAATGTTAAATTATTGTTATGCTTAAGTTCCTCATTAACCAAATTGGTTACTCATGCTACTTCAGTATTCAAAAGCCGTCCTGAAAACATAGATTATGATGGTGAACTATATTTTAATTTTTTAAATAAATCCTTTATGAAAGAATTTTCAATTACATTAAATGGAATTCCAGCCATTGCCCATGCCTTTAATAATGATTAATCAATTCGGCATTTTAATTCTAAAGAAATACAGTTTGCATCTTGTAAATTACCTGTTCAACTATGAATTGTATTTGCTTCTTTAATTAATTTTTGGCGCCAATAATTACTAATATTTTCAGGACAAAGTTCATAATGGTTGGCCAAATGTGCTTTTATAACTTGTAGTTTTCCATGTTCCCAACTAGTTGGACAATAATAACAATTCACTCTATAATATCTGTTACCCCTGCTAGATCCTTTTAAAAAAAATGAACATATTTCATCAAAGCTAGGACCACAAGTTCTTTGCCTCTTATTTGAATGTGTTAAGCTAGAAGCAAAGATATCATTACTAGAAACAGAGAGATCATTCATACTTTCTTTTTCAAGACTTGTCATTTTTGAATTTGAATTACAACAGATAAAAAAAATAATAACTATTTATTATTAAATAAAGCAATTACGTATTATGTATAGTTTCTTAAGCTTATTATTAATTTATTACTACGTATCAGAACATAAGTATATAGTTTAATTACATAATTATGATTTATTGCATGATAAACTGCATACTACTATATTTACAACTTTCTATTATAATTATGACTTACACCCAGGGCTACTACCTACGTCATTACTACTAAAAAGTTGCAACTTTACTGCAATCAATCATAATTAATTACCTCAATACAACTGCATCACTATATATTTGTTATATAGTTACTTTTATTAGTTAGATAAAATAGCAGTGTTTTTATTAATATTAAATTTTATTTTTCTCATAATAAAAACTATTTGAACATTATTATTATATAACTATGTAACTTGAATATTCATTGTTAAAAGTTATTATACTAACTTTCATATATAATTAAGTTGGTGCTTCTTTTAAATAAAGCTTTCTAAATCCTCTTTGATAAGTTGAATATTTGACTTAACTTCAACCTTCTATATTACTATTATTATAATCTTTATACTATAATACCCTAATCTCTTGAACTTCTTAAATAAGTAAAGTTTAGATATGACATTTTTAGTAATAACTATAAAATAGAATTCTCTAGTATCTAAATCATATGTACATAAGTACCGACTCCCAGTTTATAAAAAAAAGGAAAAAAAATTTTTTTCTAATACGTATTGATTTATAACATTTTAAAAAACATTATTTACATTACGTAATATAAATATTAACAACTTGGTATTATAATAAACATAACTTCATAATATTTACTAACGCTCATGACGTTCATACTATTACATTACAGTAATATATACGGTATTTTCACACCATATCTAAATTTTACCATACTTAAATTTGGCTTATTCGCTTCGTTATACTGTATATACTTCTTATATGTGCCACAAGTTCTAATTAAATTAGCTCCGTATTCATGAATAACTTAAATAAAATAAAGTTTTTTTTGTAAGCGCCAAAAGACTTGATATAAAATTTTTATTTTCGCTTTAACATGTTAACAATTTAAACGTTTAAATATATTGACTTGCCCTTTGCTCATTTCTGCGAAAAACTGATTTAAAACTGATTCAAGATTGCTCAAAACCGCGATTGCAAGAAGTTTTCTTTAATTTTGTGATTTTTAAATGATAATCTGATCATCTGATTGATTTTTAGTGTAAGACAAATTTATAAATTGGCCCATATGTTAACAAATTCTTTCGCTCATCTTTCTCACCGGTAAAAAATCCTACGAAGAAAAATGAAAAATGCTAAAAAATTCAGTGAATAAATATGCAAATTTGCATCGGGCCACTGATATTTATGACTAAAAACAATGGTTTGACTATCGTTTGTTATGTCATTTGTAATTGCATTTTATTTTCTGGTTTTAATAATTCTATTGAGAGGTTTTTCGGATTTAATTGACTACAGGTCTTACATTCATGTGCAAGTGTCCGGATTTTTAGAAGAAAATGCTACACATGCCCTGTGAAGGTGCAACGCGTGAAGCCCTGATATGCATTCACACCTTTGCTTCGCCATATGCATACGTCCAATAAGTGGCAAGATTTCGCGTACGCACGTGCATTATAACCATACACTTCGTGAAATTTTCAATGTCACTCCGTTCCTGGTATAACACACCCATATAGCCAATCAAAAATCATGGATCTGCCGCGAATTTTTTGTATTTCTGTTAATAAATAACACGTTAATCTTTACAGCTTTAACATTAGAACAATAACTTTTGAAGAATTTTGACAGGAATATAGTAATAAAAAAAATCAATTTCTGTTATTTTTAACCGTATAAGTTTAGAAAATAATTTTATTAATCTGTTCAAATATCGCTATACAAAATTTAGACGATATGGCAAAAGAAGTGGTTGATGACCTGAAACTTTACGAAAGTAAAGATGGTTATGACACAATTATCATCGCCGGAGAAGAACCAAACAAAGAAAAAATATATGCACATTCGCAAATTCTTTGCACTAGATCATCATATTTTCGTAGGACATTATCTGCTAAATGGGCTGAAAGAGCAAATAATGAACTTCTGGTCCTAGAAAAACCAAATATAAGCGCATTAACTTTTAAAATTATCCTTAAGTAAGTAATGAATTATTAAAATATTATATAATTTTTTCAGGATTCTAATGATAAATTTTATATATATATTAAATAGATTTCTGTATTGTGGAATGGTGGATTTAGAAAATCAAGAAAATGAAATAATCTTAGAACTCCTAGTCGCTTCGGATGAACTTTTAATTCAAAGACTTATTGACTATGTTCAAGAATTTTTAATTAAAAATAGTATTAAATTCTTACAAGACCTTATTAGGATGCTTCATTTTATTAATCATAATGAAAAATTTTACGAACTTAGAGAAGCTTATTTGGATACCATTTGTGAAAATCCTAATATAGTATTTGAATCAGATGAATTTCTTACATTAGAAGAAGATGAATTAAAATCGATTCTTAGATGTGATAACCTCACATTGAAGGAAAGTAATATTTGGAAACAAGTAGTTAGATGGGGAAACGCACAACGAACGATGCTTGAAGGTAACATGATGGATGAAGACGCTAAAAATGTAGACATTAACGCGTTAGGAGAGATATTACAAGAATTAATTAAACTCGTTAGATTTCATCAGATAGATCGGAATGAATTCATGAGAGAAGTATGGCCTTTTAGGAGCCTCCTTCCAGAAACTTTATTTGAGGATATCGTACGTTGTTATTTGGTGACAGGAACTATACCATCATGCAATGCATTTCTGGTCAGATGGAGTAACTTTGAAATCGATTCGGTTTTGATTGATAAAGAGATTGCACTATTATTTACGAAATGGATAGATAGAAGAGATAATTTAAAGGGATTTCGATATAATTTTAATCTTCTTTTTCGGAGTAGTTTAGATGGACTTTCATCTCAAGCATTTCATCGAGAATGCGATAACAAAGGGGCAACAATTGTTGTTGGGAGAATTCATAATACAACTCAGCTTGTTGGAGGTTACAATCCAATTGATTGGGAAGGAAAAAATATGTGGAAAAAAACAACCGATAGCTTCTTGTTTGTATTGGATAAAGAAAACCACAAAGATGCTACAGTATCACGCATTCATAAAAATCATAGTGATTATGCAATTGGCTGTGAAAAAAGTCATGGACCAAGTTTCGGGAATGGACCCGATTTACATGTTCCAGACAACAAAAATATTTGGTGCTTTGATGCAAGAGCTTACTCTGAGTTGGGAATTTTTGGTTTACATACAATTACGGATTTTGAAGTTTTTCAAGTAGTTAAGCGTTACAGATCTTTCTAACTAAGGTTGAATATAACGATACATTTTATAGTATGTGCAACCAATAAAGGAAGATCCAACTCAGTTTATTAAATAGAGACCAAACTGAACTTTGTAATAGTTCCAAGAAATAAATTGTCAATGAAATGAGGTGTCAGTAAAATAAATTGTCTACTAAAGAAACTTGTCTGTGAACTAATTGTCGATGAAATTGCCCACGAGATGAGCAGCACCAAAATTGATAGCTATATCAACTTACCGATGTCTATGTTAATTCTGATATATACCTGATAATGACGCCATAAATCGAAGAAATCAAGGCTAAAATAAATATGTTTACCAGATTGGCTTTGTTTCAACCAGTGAACAACATACGTATGTATGTAGTTATTCGTTGAATGTTTACTATTAATAATATATTAATATCAGCAGTTTTCATAAATTCTGGTCAAATGAAAAATTTCCCCAATCAATAAGTTGTCTTTTTAAAATATTGTTTATTCTGTTATATATATGTCCACAATCAGAGAGACATACTTAATATTATGAATACTTATATTAGCTTACAATTATAATTTACATTGAACTATCAAATTATATTACAAAACACTATTTAACACACATTCCCATTCCAAAACCTTCAAATAATACAGGAATAGCATAGACAACTAACCATCCTATACCTTTAAAAAAGATTCAAAAAGTCCCAAAATTAGTACGTTCTTATTTTTTCAGATTAACGGTATAGTTATGAATAAATTACCTGTGTAGACTATCAATTTTATTGTTACATCAATCGGCGGAATTACAAGGTTCTTGGTAGGTTCATTTGAGGTTAAATATGATACATCATCTATATTCTTTCTATTTGATAAGTTTTAAAGTTAATATTTTTGATAATATAGTAACAAGTACGCATTATGTAAAGAATTGTTAAATACTTTTTAATAATAATATCTTGATCCAATGCTTTATAAATGGGTGGAAGAACAGCTAATAAAAATTTCTTCATCACAATTCTCCACATGAAAATTATCGTCAGCCCTATGAAAGATAATGACATTATTGAAATTAAAACGGGTGAAGTTAAGGAGAAATTTTCTATATAACTTTTTTTTAATATTTAAATTAACGATTGCTAAACCAAGTTTGATAAAAATTTTATTTGTATATACGCTAAAAAAAACTTTATCAAATTTGATTTAGTCATCCCTAGAATACTCGTGTATTAGTGATACATACCAAAAATAACACGCAAGATTGTTATAGTAAGCCCAGTAGAGTTGTAATCATAAGGAACATTACCATTATTCGAGAAACTAGAATTTGAAAAATTCCAGCTTCCAATTATCATACCGACTGCTGCACCTATACAAGCAACACTAAACATGGGAATAAGTAAAAGGGATGAAAAACTTTTTGAATTTATTAATAATTTTCAAATTTACAGGAAAACTTACCAATCTTCAATACACGGACAATTATCTATAACTTCAGGGAACATACAAACTAAGGAAATTCCAAGCGCGATTACTATAATTGGAACTATTCAGATGTGAAAAAAAAGTGCATAAAAGTATTAATAATAAGAATAACGCCAAAGATATGTAAAAATGTATAATTACCGCCCCAACTTTCATTCATAATAAATGCATCAATGTGAACTTGAAAACTCCAGTGAATCCACCAAATTAATATTGCCAAAATTGATCCCGCAAATATATCTATTTTTATTTGAATTATTAAAATAAATACTCAAATATAGTATTGTTAACTTTCGTTAATATTCATAATTATTTCGTACATACCTATAAGGCTATGCATACCACAATATATACGACCAACAACTACGCTCAAACAATAAATAGTCAGACAAATTGTACCAACAAATTTAAAAAACAAGCTATTCGATTCAACTGCATATATATTTGTTAAAAAGAAGAGCGTAATTGATACTGCGTTTGTAGTATGTGTTGATGGAAATCCATATTCTAAATGATGAGATCCTACACATAAACGACGGATTGGTGGTGATAACGGTCTCGGCAAACATAATGAATCCTGAAGAAATAATAATTGATATTATATAAATATATCATGTATATATGTATATATGTATATAGCGCAAAATTTTTTATCTTACCTTTAACAATCCGGTACAGACAACTCCTGACGTTGTTATTAATGTAAGACTTTTCGAAAGGTCGTCATGTGATTTTGTAGAAATAAAAAATTTAATTTTTTTTTAAAGTTTTGAGTTTCAATTCAAATCATTAATTAAAACATACCCTCTCCCAATTGAACCATAGCCAAACCAAAAAAATGTTGGCAAAAGTAAGACGAAAAATGTATGCGTTCCCAATATGGATGAATATATGAAAAACGAGTCAAGTAGTGGGTGACTTAATGAATTCTATGTAGCAAGTCAAAACATCGTTTTTTATAATTCAGCAAAATTATGAAATTCTTTAAAAATTATCTTGTAAGAAGGGCACACCTGAATGTTGATAAGTAAACTCGTTTCTTTACGAATAATCGATAACAGCCATCTTCTTAGTTGAGCGTTGGAAGGCGGCAATAATTTATCATAATATGACTCAGGGTGTGTTCCTGCGTCAATGAGTGGTTGTAGTTTTGCTGCGGTTGTAGTCATTTATTATAATAATTATTACAATATATATACTATAAAAATTGTCACTTTTCGGTAGATGAATGCTATTTATAATTGTATCGCATAGGATGTCGCAACTCAATCTGACAGATAATCAAAATCCTTTGACGGGTAAAGATAAATTAATTTTGGGGCTGTTGAAATCTTGTTTATTGCTTACTTAATACAAAAGGTTCATAAACGCATGCACACAAGTACACAATGTCAGATATTAGCACTTATACATAAGTATAACCAAACTAATTATAAATTCACTAAATTATATATACTCAATTCTAACCGAATTTGGGATCGTTTGAAACCTTGGCACCCTCGCGGGCCAATAAAATCCTTTTCTCTAATTAAGTATCAACCTTTGTGGGATGTTTTAATATCAAAACGTCCTCCGAATTTGGGAGTATTCTTTTTTTTTTTTTTTTTTTGCACACAACTATATAATATCAACCGGTTTTGGAAATAAGCCAATGAAACAATCAGATGTCCGGGTCTTTGGAACTTCTTTTATCTTGTTTATAAATATATTCTAAAAAATTTACGTGTGCAAAATCCGACTTTAATTAATGGAGTTAAGGTTCAGGTTTCTGATTTTGAATTAAAATAGTAACGTAATTATTCCAAAATCAATGATCTATAAATCATACGTATTTATATTTATTTGTAAGCTTATCTATGTAAGTTTTCTTTAAAAAAAAAAAAAACGATTGTCAATTACTTTTTGAGACCTTTAAATTTATTTACACTTTTCTGAACACAAAATGACGTGCTGGAGATCATGTTTTTAATGTTACTAAAATCTTTCGGAAATGCTAAAAAAGGCTCGAGTATGTTGTACTAATAATTGATTATATACCTCTATGGATCGCATGCTAACTGAAAAATCAATTCGCTTCATTCCTTGGTGAATTTTATTATAATAAAGACATGCTTATTTTTTGATGAGGATATTACATCATAATCATAAACGAAGAAAATCGGTTATACAACACAAAAAAAAACATTGCTAATAAAATTCGATTATCGTACGTACATACGTATGTACTTATTCTAAGCAGTGTGTTTACGTACGTACGTACAATGGAGTGAATTTGGATATATAAAAATTTTATTTGGACAAAATTTGGGCATATACAGTATATATTTGTATATATATAGTAAGAAATCCAGTATACGTATACATTAGGTTGTATGTCAAATAAATAAGTATATATATACATATAATTTAATAATGTAATCACTATAACAATCTCAATAAAATTTTTAAAATAAAAAATTATTTAGAAATCCCTGAAGAAATTCGCCAGTATATGTTTTATTATAATTTTTTAGCTTGAATTTTAAAGTTAAAATTAGGCTTTAGAATTAAAGTTTAGATTAAAGTTGAGGTTAGCATTCCAATTTTATTATGTATCGACCATTTTTTACTTAGCTGTTAGTACGTACGTACGTACGGGTGAATTTCACTTTTGACGATAGTGAACTGGTGCAAATTCGGCGTACCATGTGGATGCTTTTCATTAAAATTCGTGCCAAGAATTATGTCATTGGCTTGCATATTGTATATATAGATCATGCATAGTATGAATGAACGTTGACACTTATTAAGTCTAGAAAGATAATCGTTACAACAATGCTTTTGTTGGTAAAATATTATATTCTTAAAAGTACAGTACTTTAAACTAAGTTATAGTTATTTAATTAATACGTTATACAGTATATAGTATATTTATTTCTTATCTATATAATAAGTCTTATTTCTTCAAATTAACCAATAGATTTGCAGAATATGCAAGATCAAGTATATAAAGTTTTGTATATGGATTAGATTTGTTATAAACAAGAGATTTTTTAAAATTTGATTAAAGCTATTTTCTTTTTATTTAAAAAATTAAGCCTAAATTTTAAAATTACAGCACTATTTGTTTTATATTTTAATAATCACTATGTATATTAATTTTAAAGTTTTTAATTAGTTATATTGTATTTTTAACTATATTTAATAATACTTGTCGCGGATGATGGTGAAATTGGATGATCGTGAAATTGGATGATCGTGAAATCTGGGGGCCTTAATTTAAAAATATAAACCCTACTAAAACCCACCTATACTCTTT